TTGGTGCCCACGTCGAGCACGACGGGCAGCAGATACTGCGGCGGAATCCTGCCCAGTGCCGTATACAAGTCCAGCTTGCCCACCGATATGCCCATGCCATTGGCGCCCAGATCGCCCAGCCCGAGGATGCGCTCCCCATCCGTCACACACACCGCCCGTATGTCCGTCTCTGGCCAGTTGTTGAGCACGTGCGTCATGTGCCCCTTGTCGTACTTGCTGACGTACAGGCCCATGGACGTGTGGTAGATGTGGCTGAAGTTCTGGCAGACTATGCCCACCGTGGGCGTGTAGATGATGGGCATCACGTCCTCGATGCGATCGATGATGAAGCTGTAATAGAGACGCTCCTGGCGGGCGCGCAGCGCCCGCAGATAGATATAGCGACCCAGATTGGTCTTGTGCGCCTTGAAGTTCGTATAGACGGCAAAGAGCTGCTCCTTCTCGGTGCGATGGCAGCTCGGATAGAGGCCAATGATATTCAATATCTGACGCTCCTTGTGGGTGAAGGCTGTGCCCTGGTGTGTGTGTGTGTGTGTGTGTGTGTGGTTGACCCTTAGTCACTATTCAACACGCTCCCCATACGGCTTGGCTTACCTTGTTATACTTTGGATCCACAACCTTGCGATAGTCCGTCTTCAGGACACTCGCATGCCAGCTGCGCAGGGGCGGGCTGATGCGGCTTTTATTTACACTGCTCTGGTGCTTCGAGGCCAGCAGAGAGCTAAGTGAAAGATGGTTTAAGAGGGTGAGCAAATCACCTTACGCAGTTTACGTACCTCAAATTTTGTCTTAGGCCAAATTTTAGTGCGCCGCAAGCCATTGCAACAGCACTAATGTAATTCTGAATGCACGCGGATGCCTAGAAGAAATATATACATACAAATTAGGGTTACCAAATTACACTATAAGAAATATCGTTTATTAAAGCAAAAGCTGTCTATGTTTCTGTGTGTGTCAATGTGTCTGATCTGGAGTGAAATGCTTACAATTATAATCTGAGCTACAGCTAGTATACTTTCAATATTTAATGATAATATTTATTTTTTTTTTTAATTTTATTTTTTACTTGGTAATATAATAATTATATCGATTTCCCGTAAATCCCTTAGGTCCCTCTATCTTCTAAGATTTTTTTCCTATCCCAAACAACCGACATTTATGTCATTTCTCAACATTTATAACCTGAGTTAAAAATACTCTGCAAAGTTTTTCCTGAGAAACTTATTAATTGTGCGTTACCTGCATTAAGTATCTGCCCTTCCAAATAACAAGAACGTTCAAGCTTATGTAAAACATTTAACAAAAGTACTTGGACAAATACTAAAAAGATTTCACTTAAGACCGAAATACATCAAACACACATACATACTTATGTACAATTGTATATGTATGTATATATAAATGTGTGTGTGTGAATATATTTTTTTAAGAAAAAGTAAAGTGTGTAAGAAAAGCTGACAATGCGAATCCGATACTTACGGCCAAAAAAGCAGCAGCGCCCAGCATCCAAGCCCCCACCCAAAATTATTCTATAAGCCATCAAAGCAATTCAACGACAACAACAACAATAACAATGCTAAAGAAGAGGTAGCAGAAAAGAAATCGACAGCGAACGCAACAACAACAACAAAAAGCTTTGAAGCAGCGCAAAAAAAAAACCACAAAAAAAACGAAGTTATAATAAAAATGAAGAAGAAAAAAATATATATGTATATCATAAAATGCCCAAAGAAAAAAATCTAAATAAATAAGACCTGCTCGATTTTCTTCAAACCTTATTTTTTATTATTATTTTCTTTTGCCTTTTACAGCGAGCAGCAACGAACGAAGGAGGGCATAGCCATAGAGGTCCCAAGGCAAACGCACACACACACACACATAAAATACAGCACCCAATAAGAACAACAACAACAACAACACAGCAACGACAAGCAACGTCTTCTTACTTGTGTAGCAAAAGGCAGCCAGCAGCGAACATCTTTTGCGAGCGAGCGCAAAATTCCTGTCATGGGGTCTCCAAGTGATGCCACAATCGGCGGCGACGGCGGCTGCTGCCACCGCTGCCACAGCCGTTGTCGCTGTTGCTGTTGCTGTTGCTGCTTCTTCTGCTGTTGCATTATTCATGTTTGGCAGCCAGCCATCGTGTCCCCCCTTCTCCTCGGCAACCCCCCCGCCGTAACGCCTCTTCCAACTCTCTCCAACAAGGGGCTGCCGAGTCAATACTGCTGACTGACTCTGCAACTGACGACAAAAACACCACGCCCTCAAAACGCCACTTGCCGCATGCGTGCGAGCGAGAAAGTCATACAAACACAAATCAGCTGAGAGCGCCGCCATTTGCTGCGTAAATCCAGCGAGAGAGCGACGGGCAACAGAGAGAGAGCGAGTGAGAGCGAGTGAGAGAGAGAGCAAAAACGTATTGCACACAGCCAGACAAGCGCAAGCGAGAGGCCGCTATAGGTGGTTGGTTTTTTGTTTTTTTTTTTCTTGCTTGCTTGTGTATTTTGTTTGTGTTTTGACTCGCTGCTGCCTCTGCCACTGCTGCTGGCGCTGGCGCTGGCTGCGAACGAGCGGCATCTCAGAGCTAGAGCTTGTGAATTCGCTGCAGGCACAAACACACAGTAATACGCCGCTACGCTGACTGGTTGTCTGCGCGGATGTTTTTCTCTGCACAAAAAATCGAATCGCAGCGAGCGACGCAGCACGAACAAACGAACGTCGGAATCGGAGTCGGAGTCGGTGTCGGAGTCGACCTTTCTTGCCCAATATAACATACGCGAGTTCTGTCGCCGCAGTTTGCTAACGCGTGGCAACAACAACAGTCGCCGCTGATACGTTGAACGTCGCTCGGCATTTTCGTTTGTTTTTTATATACATATACAACAGCAACGATAACAACAGCAACAACAACGACAACAACASTTTCTAATAAAAAGAAAGAAAATAAATTGAATTGTATTGTATTCGCCTCGTTTCTGTGTTTGCCGCGGGCGTAACCTTTAAACTCGCCTTGATTACACTTACAACATTTCGCCGTCGGTTTTTTTGTGTGAATTTCTTTCTTTTGGCTTCGATCGTAATTCGCGGCACACCGAATATCAATAGCAGCTGCTGCTGCTGCTGTCGCTGCTGCCGTCCAAAGTCAAAGTCTTCTTCATTTAGTTATCATCAGCACAAGGCGCATCCGCTCAACTCCTAATGCCTTATCAGTAGCACGCATCTCTGTTTGCTGCTGACGCTGCTGCTGCTGCTGCTGCTGCTGCCGTTGTAGGGAACACACATAGAGACTGAAAGACCTTTTCCTTACCACTCAATTTACAGTGAGTGCCATTCCACGCGCTGTCTCGTAAATTAATGTCATAAATTAATTTCGGGCACCGGTGTCGTCTAAATACATACATATATACATACATACATATATTCGGGAGTCTCGTTAAACCGTAGTCCGTGTCGGCCTATAAAACGTCAAGAAAAAAGTCAACATTACCTGCCGCAGCAAGTGTGTGTGCGTCTCTGCGCGAGTGTGTGTGTGTGTCTGTGTGTGCGTCACCTAAAACCCAAATGTTCCTTAAATTACCTTCAAGCTGAAAATGAATACGAATTCATAATAAAATAAAGCCAATTATATATATTATAAAAATATATTATATACNATTTTATTACTATTTTTGTTTTATTTAATTTATGTATTTATGTATTTTTTATTTTTTTTTTCTACGATAATTTTAGTTTTTAAAACTAAAAAAAAAAAAACAACTCTAAAATAGGAAATGTTTTGTCAAATAAAGTAAGTCATTATGTTGTTAGGAAAATTACAAGAAACATAAAATTTTATTGAAACAAAAAAGGCGAGCTCAAGCAGAGGAATTACACATCGTTAAAATAATGCTGTTCCGTATTTGGGCTCTGGGTCTGGGCCTGGTCAACAATGACTAATTTGCATAAGGGTCAACTTGTCAGCAAGTGAGCCACGCCCATTGGGCGGCGACTATTTACATAGATACTTGCTTATTATTCATTATGTATCTATTATTATGCAAATCACTACCAAACTGCCAAAGGAATGGCCCAGGCTCTGCTCATTTTGATGAGCCCCTCTTTGCTATTATTGTCGTTGCTTCTTCTTCTTCTTCTTCTACTTTTGTTGTTGTTCATTTTTGGTGGGAGTGTGGGTGTGGCGGCCATTGTCAGTCGTTGCTCATTAGCCGCTGTTTTATTTTGTATGTTGACATGAATGGGCAACAACTCAAATTGACTCTTAGCGCTGCCATCAAAGGATTTGCCAAAGACTCAAAAGTTTTGGTCGCCTTTTGGCCCGCTCAGCGCTGCCTGCTAATTGCGCCAAATTAGTTGACAACTTAATGTCGTAAAAATTTGAGCTAAATGCCTCAATCTTTCGTTAATGGCATTGACAGTGGTGTTACCTACACACACACATACACACATACACATTTATTTCGTGGCACGTGACGTCTCTGAGTACGTGACACTCGGCCCGCAGTCGCTGTCAAATCTGCAAGGCCAGGCTTCGCTGTTTGTTTACAACTGCCATGCAAGTATGTGTGTGTGTGTGTGTGCGAGTGTGTATGTATGTGTGTGTGTGTGTGTGTGTGTGTGTGTGTGTGTATGTTTAGTGTATTGTTCCCGCTTTATACACAAGCTCTTTTGTCTTGCTGCAGCCGCCCCATAAATTAGCTCTCTCAGCTAAATTATAATAGTTTAATTAGTTTTTTTTTTCTGGTTCGCTCGACACACGCTGCCGCTGACAGTTTCATTAATAGATGCATAAACTTTAATTAACTGAAGCTGAAATCTGCAGAGGGCCCGCTCTGCGACCTTTAAGTGGGCTGAAGCTTTTGTTTCCTTTGATTTGCCAGCTAGATTAGCAACGTGGCGTATACGTAATGTGCGCTATTTATTACTGTGCGGCGTATACTTAATGTGCTTATATGATATCTGTATTCCTGTACTCATATAAAATGCATTCTCCTCTCTTGCAGAGCATGTCAAGGACTTCAGCTGCGGCCCGCTGCACTACAAAACCTTTTACATGGATGAGCGCAACAATGCGCTCTACGTCGGCGCCATGTAAGTACACCGTGCTAGAATTATGGCTGGGCTAAGGGTATACCCTTACTGTATATGTGTGGGAGTACGGCTGGTATCTAAGTTCGTTGCGGTTTGCCATTTGACGTGCTCGAGCCCGCGTTAATTGCGCACTTCCGGTGCGACTGTGTGAACTTCCGGCTGGCACTAAAAGCAGCTACGCGAAAAGCTTCAACACATTTGAAGCTGCATATTTCATTTTTGAAAGCCCAGCGTCCAAAGTGCCCAGAGTTGTTGGCAACACTGTCGGCATACATAATTATGAATTAATGCTCGACGTGCGGTTCGAGGGAGCCAAAGCCGAGGGACTGATGGCTGCGGTAGGGCTCCATTCGGTTACGGGTCGGGGTCGGGGTTGAGGTCTGGGTCGGGGTCGGGGTCGGGGTCGGGTGGTTCAGGTCAGAGAGCTGAGAGCTGTGGGCAGGTCGCTCTAGTGCTCCAGCTCAATTTGACAATGCCCGTCGTCGCTTGCTCATTTGTCTGCCGCAAGTTGAACATGGCCGCATTTTAACAGTTGCGGTCTCTCGCCGCTCCCTCCCGAAAAGCGCTGGCAAACAAAGTAACCAAAATTACCACTTGACTCGAGCGCCATTTTTCCAACGCAACCCACAGCCGGCAGCGGTCGTCGGGGCATCATCAGCAGCGAGTGCCACTGCCACTGCCAGTGCCACTGACACTGCCACGGCTGCTGCTTGCCCCTAGTTCTCGCAATGAAGATTAATGGTTTCGAGTTGTTGGGGCGCCGCTCTGCCAGGGCCTAAAACTCTGCCGGCAACTACATAAAACACACTTTAGCACCGAGTTTCGGCGTCGACGCGTTCCCCTTTTTCAGTCGGGTCTCCGCAAACTTTTGAGTAGCCGACCAGAGTGAGTGGGAGGGGGCGGGGGGCACTGCAAATGCTGTTAAAGTTGGTCCGTATAGCTGGGCCCATGGACGCAATATTGCGACATCGATATATCAATCCATCAATCAATCAATCACGATCCCGAACAGTGCAATAAACGTAACAGGCCGCCGCAGACGCCGGTGATGAGCAGGTGCTGCGCTTCAGCCATGTGCAACGCAACGATTTTTCAAAAAATACCCAAGAGGTACACACAGAGAGAGAGAGGGAGAGAGAGAGGGGAGAGAGAGACAGATACAGACATAGCTGACTGAGAGACGCCAGCAAATAGACAATTTCAATTGCTTGACAGCAGGCAAAGTCGTTCTCGAAAGTCGCTCGGATGCCGCCGACTGACAAACTGACGGCTGCTCCTCAGCCACTTCCTGTATGTGTGTGTGTGTGTGAGGGTGTTTGCGGGTGTGTGTAAGGTCACGCTCTTGTGCTGATTGCGTTTCACAGCACAGCAGAGCATTAACTTATCGTGTGTCGGGGCACGAGCGCGGGATTAGCTCAAGTGTCACTCGAGCCGCCACATATCCATCTATGTGCAACAACCAGTAACAACAACAACAACAACTGTTAATATATTTCTTATTATCTCTTGCAGGGATCGCATTTTTCGTCTCAATCTGCGCAACATCAGCCAATCGATATGCGAGGTAAGTGAAATGAGGCGCAAGAGCAGAAGCTAAAGTAAAAGCAAAAGTAAATGTTAAAGTCAAATCTCAATTGACTGCAGGTAAAACAAATGCTGCTAAGAAAATATAAGTGAAATGGGCAATAGTTGGGAATGATGGACTGGGGTATACCCTAAAGCTATAATAGGCATAGCAGAGAACTCCCTAGAAATAATTGAAACACAGCCAGAGAAAGAGAAAGCTACTTTCATTTGGAAAAGAGCAAATGAAGTTTTGCTTTATGTTTCATTAACTACAATATATGCAATATAT